CTTTGTGTGGACTAAATGCTACTGACTCAGCCTACAGCCATCTCTTTCCTGGTTTCCAAACCACACTGTTCATCTATTTTCGGGGACCGCCCACTGCACCAGCATCACTATAGTCAACAACCTTCCCTCGAAACCTGTTCTTCCTCCTAGTCCTTTAACCTTCAAACTCTGACCCTAATGGATCTCCCTGCCTTCATCCACTCCCAGTCGATTCTTACAGCACCTGGAGAGGCCTTTCCACTATCTGCCTCTGCTGTGCAGGATAAAGGATGGGTAGGTCCCTTTATTCATTCTGCAAAGACCTGCTTAATAGAGCTGGCCCTGTTTCCATTGGCTTCAAACCTCATCACCTAAGGAGTAATTGCCATACTGAGAACTCACTGCCATTGAGTGGATGCCAATGCATAGCAATTCTATAGGTCAGGATAGAACTGCACCTGGGAATTTCTGAGGCTGTAACTGTTTAGAGGAGTAGAAAGTCCTGTCCCGATGAGTGACTGGTTGAATCCAACTGCTGACCTTGCAGATAGCAACCCCAATTTTTGCAACCCCTCTTCACCACCAGGGCTCCTCGGTGATTGTCATGTGTCTTATAAATTGTATTACAAAATTAATACTAGCTCATTGCTAGAAAATTGAGAAATTAAGAAATAAAAGGGTACCCGTGGCCCCATCATAGTTATCATTTTGGGTTTTCCTCTCCACATTCTTTAAATACAGCATTTACAGAGTGGCAATCAAAAGAAATATATAGCTTTCTACATGGGATTTGTTTTTGTTGTTGTTTAATTTTAAGCAATGTGTAAAAATTTTTGTTTTCTAAAAATTCCAAACTAGCCACTTACATGATTCATGCCCTCACTACTTCTCTTAATCCCCTTGACTTAATTCCCCTCTTCATAGAAATACACAGCATAGAAATACACAGCAGTTTCATTTGATGTCCCCAATAACATTATCGTTAGCATTGTTCCATTGTTCGATTTTATAAAATTCATTTTAGTGAGTGCACAATAGTAATGGTGGTAGTAACAGCTACCATGTGAACTCCTGTGGGCCTGACACAGGATTGCGAAGCTCACTCAAGAATCCTCTTTTGGATCACTGAAGGTACGGGTGCTACAGCAAAGTGTGGTGAAGAAACCAGATGGTGCCCGGCTATCAAATGGAATAGTGTCTGGGGTCTTAAAGGCTTGCATTTAAATAAGCAGCCATCTATGCAAGGAATCCACTAAGTCCACATGGAAGAAGCACACCAGCTTGTGTGATCCAAGGTGACAATTACAGAATTTGAATATAGTGAGGAGAAAAGCATCAGAGCAAATATTATGAACACCCAAATTGTGGGGGGCTTTAGGGGGCTGTGGGAACTCAAAACCCATCTACAGAGCATCTAGTCAGGCTGAGCCACTCATAGATCTGCTCTATCCACAGGCAAGAGTCTGGAACAGCCTTGCTAACAGGCAAAGATCATTGCAATCTTGATTATGCTTGATCGACCTTGATACTTGGCCAGCTGACAACCCTATAGACAGGGACCTGAATTTGTTCTGGGTGCAATTATCTCTTACTGGTTCCATGCCAGAAATTTCTTCCCTGCCTTTGTGAATGTTGTTGGGGGTCTCTCCCTTCTTAAGCATTATTTTATCTTTGTGTGCTATTATATTTGTAGCCTTACCACCTTAGGGTGATTTTGTTTTTTTCTGTTGCATCTCCCAGATGTGAAGCACAGGAGGAGTGGATGCATAATGAGAATAACCAATACAAGGGGTTATAGGGAATGCAGGGATGGGGAGTGGGTGACGGGGAGGGTAAGGGAATCTCAGAACTAAATGGTGGACACTGGAGTGGGGAGGGAGCACTAGAATGGATTGTGATTGCGTAACTCATCTCGGAGGCGATTAAATCCATGAGAGGGGGAATGTTCTAAAAAAACTGATTTGGGGGTGATTGTACAATTTTCCTTCACATGACTGATTGAACTATTAACGTATATGATATGTAAATTACTTGTCAATAAACCTTTTGAGGGGGGAAGAATCCTCATTTGACTGAGGAGGGACAGAATGAATGACTAGGAAAATATCTGTCAGTTCAACACTGCTTTGCCTCTCCCCTGGATACCTTAGCATCTGGATGTTGGAACATCGATTGTTAACCAATCACCCCACCATTGTTGGACACTTATGGGTTTTTGTTGTTCACTGTCATACATAATGCAGTCGTTATGTTTGCATGTTAGTCTGTGTCAGCAATTCTGATTGTCTTCCAAGTATCAGCTACTAGAAGTAAAATTTTAAGAAGTTTCTCGACACACATTGCTAGTTGGCTTCCTGAAAGGTTATACTAATTTACAGGAGTGACTGTTTCTAATGGGGGGGAAAGGAGGGAAAACGAGTGACATTTCACGGGGGAGGTGGCATTTGAGCTGGGTCCTGCAGAATGAGGAGGGCTGTGCCAAGGAGAGGCAGTGTGAGCTGTGCCTTCCAGACAGGGCAAGGAAGTGGGAGCAGAGGGGCAGGGGCTTGCAAGAGCCTGTGCCCCAAGAGTGCCAGTCTGTTCCCTGACACCTGCTTATTTGCCACCAGATATCTTCCTTGTTTCATTCTTTTATGGTTGGCAGGGAATCGAATCAGAATAAATTCATAGAAGAAAGTTGAGCTTCTAACGTATGCTTCTGCTCTTTCCATGTGTTTAGACACTGTCTCGACTGAAAGCTTTTTTGAACTTCCAAGGCGCCCATGTTAGTCTGTTCTTTTTGATCTTTCCACAAAGTGGAGGGGTGGCAGAATCAAATCCCCAGAGGATTCAGAACTGGGATGCTCCTGCCCCAGTTTCTTCCCAGAACTCAAAGGGACACGAGCATTCGACTTAAGTCCTTATGGACCAAATACATTGAGGAAAATGTCTTCGGTATCCGTTTGCTTGACAAAATAAGGAAAATAACTGGAATCTATTTTAAAACTTGAGATAAATGCCAGGCACCAGGGAGTCAGATAATACTGTAAGTAGAGCATTTCTTTGAACACTGCTGTGTCTACAGCTTCCTGCTTCAGGTCTGGCACCAGTGCTGAAAGCCAGCAGGATAAAGGTGAAAGGGAAGGGGGACCAAGGCAGAGATGGTTAGCAGACGCACTGGCATCCAGAGCAGGAGAGGCCTCCAAGCTCCATGTCATTTAGTGTGGCAGCTTCAAATGCAGTATGACGAGTTAGCCATTCCACCACCATGCTTTGAAGAGGACAACTTCTAAATTAAGTAAGAAACTGTTTCTAATGCTGCCAAAGCGCGTCAGGACAAATGGAGTTTTCTTTGTGCATCTGGTGTGTATACCACCCCAGTGAAGCTTGGCTGGCATTGATGAACTGTGTAGGGTGAGTTTAATCATCGTAGTACATCACCATTTTGTAGGGAGTCAGGGAAACGTTAAAATCCCAGCGGTTCTGCTATAAGTTATGTGTTGGCTAGTTATATGAGGAAGTGTAGTAATGGGGGAAAAGGAATCAAATAGATGATCTATTGGATCAGATTTCATTGATAGCTAGGAAATCTTTCTCATTAGCATTGTCATACAAATATGTTCGAATGGCTTAAGACAGGACCCTCCAACACTGCTGTACTGTTCTCCCATCTGTCTACTGTTCTTCAGATTCCTTCTCTGAAGAGAGCCACAAGTAAGTTCTCCTCATCATCAGGAACATAAAAGCATCAAGAGCCATTCCTTTTAAAATTCTTGTGATGTTTTCATTAGACAACATGCATTAAGCTCTTATGGTTGCCTAATACCTGCTAACCGCTCAAGGTACAGTGGCAACAGTAGTAGAGGTGGAGCTGTTGTTTTTATTTTTACTGTTACTAATATACTTACTATTTCAAGATTATTTTTCAGGCCGTTTATTCTCGGCTTGCCAGTCTTCTCCCTCATCTTCACACAAAAATATGATTGGAAGACTGTTGTAAATACTGTTAACCTGCCTTTGAAAGCGTTTGATGGGTATAGATAAGGACAGTGAAGATGTGCCTCTGGGCCAGTGCACAGCTCACTCTCTCCAGAGAATACGCTCATGAGCAGATAATAAATCTTACACAAGTGATGAGCCTCCTTTGAAAGGGTATGACGCTCATGCCCATTCACAACAGTTTATGTCCTAAAAGTCTGCATCAAGATGGTGAAAATTAGATCACAAAAGCTCTTGCCAACTTAAAATTTTAAAGATCAGATGCTAGTGGCACCCCACGAAAAGAAAGCCCCCAGTCTACAGTGTCACACTTCCCCTAACCAGCCCTTTGCCATACCTCGTGGTGTCTTTAAGTCCTATTTGCAGCTGGTAACACAAAAGCAGCTTCCTCAGATTGCCGTTATGTGGGCTCTTCTGAAGCAGACGTGGGTTTCAGAATCTAAACCCTCTCTTTTTCTTTACTGTCCTCAATTCTGTCCCTTGCTCTAGTAGCTTGCTCTTTCTCTTGTCTTTGGATAGAAGATAATTTTTTTCCAGAACACCGTGTAAAATCGTGTTTAATTAAATAGAAGTATGTGAAATCTATATGCATGCCTGAAATATTCAACAACAAGAAAAAGAGCTTGCACTTAGGGTTAGATTGCATGCTACTGGAGTTGCCATGATAAATGAGTTTTTCTTTTTATTTCTCAGATGATTTTCATTTATTTTACATTTACTTTTAGGGTTTGACCTACGAAAAAGATAAGTGTAATTAGGTATTCTTCCATAGGATTTTTATCTCCCCACTTAGTGTTCTCAAGACCTGGGTCCCCTCTTTGCCATTTAATTATTTCATAGGTTCCAGTCTTGAATCCCCAAGTTTATTGTTAGCCCTTTGATAGCAGATACTCTCTTATCGTTGTGCTACAAAGTACAGCCTGTCTCTGGTTGAGCCACACAGAGTTGTTGTTTGCTTGAGTGTTGTGATCAATTATGCTGGATGTCTTGATTCCACATTAAAACGAATAAAGATGTGCCGTGTCCATCTGCTTCTTCTCCAGGTTAACCAGCTCCATGGCATACCCAAACTTCTGCAGCTGCTTAAAGTTCAGAATGAAGATGTGCAGCGGGCCGTGTGTGGGGCTTTGAGAAACTTGGTTTTTGAAGACAATGACAACAAGTTAGAGGTGGCTGAACTAAATGGCGTACCTCGGCTGCTCCAGGTGCTGAAGCAAACCAGAGACTTGGAGACTAAAAAGCAAATAACAGGTAGTGCTTACTAAACATTAAAGGGCATAGCACAGTGCGCTCTAGCCGGATGTGTTATGTCATCTGTTTTTCTTAAGTTTCCTGGAACAAATGATTGATGGACTCACTGTTATTCAAGAGATGGTTTTAAAGGGATTTTGTTACCTTAGACTCCAGATTCCAGCCAAGTTTGAATTCCTTTTATCTGAAAGGAAAAAGATTCTAAAGTTTGGCTTGATATTTTGAATGAGAAACTAGACACCTTTGACCAAACGTCTTTAAAGCAACTTCTTGACCAGACTCACTGTGTGAAAATTCTACACAAATTTCTAAAAGGTGGCTTTGAAGCTTGAGGATATGTGGGGTTTCAGTCTTGTCCTACATGTCTGAAACATTCTGAAGAAAACCAAGAACCAGGCACAGTTATGTTTTTTATCTATTCAACAGTCAGCATCCTGGATCTATACAAGGAAAAGGAAATGGAAAGTCAAATGGTTTCCTAATGTAGAGGATTAATTTAATCAAATTAATTAAAATACCAGGCATTCTTTCCTCCAATCTTTTGGTTACTGGGATTCCTCCTAATGCAAG